GATAGTATTGTCAGAAACACTTTACTATAGAGCTAATACAACACTTTACTGTAGAGCTGCTATCTTATGGCAGAGTAATTAACTGCAATCAAACCCATGTGTGGATGGTGACCATAGGCATATGTTGCCCAGTCAGCCTGGCCAGACTTCTAGCTGTTGCAGAGCCACATGACTCTGCACTCTCACCACCCTTGTGCCCCAGCCAGACCCTTTGCCACCTGATGCCACCACCCAGAGCCCAGGACTGACTTCCCCCGCTATCCTCTGCTAGACCAGGCCTGCTCTGCCCAGCTCAAATTGCTGATGTCTCTGGCATATGTGTAGACACTCTACCCAGGAGCTATTTATTTCAGCTCAAATGGTTCCAGAATTGATTGCATTGCCTTAATTGCATGTGTAGATACACCCTGGGTGTACTAGTCCAACATGGGTGAACTGGGGAAAGGGTGCAACACTTGTACCAAAACAGGCTGACTCCTGAACATACTGCTCAGTCTGCAGTGGAAGTAAGAGGTACAAATCTAGGGCCCTGCTACATGTTCCAATGGAAGCTGGATAGAAACCAGCAGTAGAGTTGTTCCTCCTTTTGAGGCCCTAACTTTGTAGCTGGTCGGCTCTTTCTTACAGCTGGGCTAGTCACTTCTACCTTGTGATCATAACATTGCCTGTCCATATGTATTGCACGATTCGCCAGTCAACTGTGCAACATGGGCAAGGTGTAGCAGGGGGTCTTGCAGGCTCCACATGCCTGCCCCATTCCATGGTGGGGCTGGGATTCCTGGATACCAACAGCTGTGGAATCTGGGGACTTCAGCAATCATGGTGGGGGGGGGGGTGAAGTCAAGGTTCAAGTTATTTCAAATTACAGATTTTTTTTTCCCAACAGACCACTGAGATGCTTTATAAAAGTGATACCAATCCAGTGCCTTGAAAGGTCTTTGAATGGCTATCCACAGTCCAAAGGGCACCGAAAATTGGAAAGCTAAACAGCCATGATCCTTCAATCATGTTTGTCTCTTTTTGTTCCATCCCTCATACTCTTTTTGCAGTCCGAGTATGTTTTGGAATAGGCGCAACCCCTCTCCACACAAGATTTATCTCATTAATTTGCCCCTCCTCCCCCATAAGAGACAAGAGCCGCCCTGTAGAGGTAGTTTCTAGAGAAGGAAGAGGCAGTTTGCATTTTTTTGGAATATTTACAATTAGAGTACTAATAATTTGGTAGATTTTTTTGTTTGTTGAGTGGAAGAAAAATATCTTTAATTTATAAAAGTCAAGCTCTCTTTTGCCTGCTTCATCATGGTCCATGACCGATAGATAAAACTCAGTCTTTTATTTCAATGTCAGAAAGAATTAAAATATTCTTGATGGAGACTCAAGAAAACAAAAGATTTTCTAACTCATCCATTTGAATGAACATGACTCGATCCACCACCTATTGAAATCAGTGCTTTTTGTTGACTCCTGGGGGCCCTGGATAAACCTATTGCGCTAAGAATAACACTCAAGGTAGGAAAGCTACACTTCTTTGAGAAGTGTAATGCCTTTTTAAAATAACTTTGCAACTAACATTGAGCATGAGCAGATAAAAAGTTGCCATTAAAGACTCAGGGCCTTCCAAAGTTAATTTACTTTTGAAAATCAGAACCTGGTGCGGGGAGGGCTCCAATTTTATTAGGGCATGGTGCTGGGCAGCCCAATTTTTTATTTTTGCAGGACCACCCCAGCCCCACCAAAAGAGTGAAAGTGTAATGAACCCTGGGTGAAGTAGCCGCTGCTGACTCAGAGGGACACTCAGGGCAGGGCAGGGGGGAGGGAGGCAGCAGGGCAGGGAATAGCCATGGGTGCTTTTTATGCTTTTTTTTTTTTTTTTTGGATTGGAGCCACGGGCTCTCTCCCTCCCTCCCCCGGGTGCGTTTGTGCATTGGGCGGGGGGAGCGGATCAGCCCCTCTCTTGCAGGATGCTCCAGCCGCACTCCCTGGCCGGGACCCGGAGGAACAGCAGCGCGCGGGGACTGAAGCCCAAGTGAATGGGGCGCCCCAACAACCCGGCGCCGGGGATGCGGCTGGTGCGTACCACACCCCTGCTCGGCCCGCGGGGGAAGCCCGGGGTGCCCTCCTCTGGGCTGCTCCCAGCCGCGAGCGCGGCAGGGACAGTGCCCTGCGGGCCCGCTCCGGGGCTGCACCGAGCTCCAGCCAGCACGGGGCACGGGGGCCAGAGCGCCTCCCTCCCGCAGCCCTCCCCTGCCCCGCACTGCCCCTTTGCCAAGCCCCTCCAGCATCTCTCCCCTGCCCCACACTGCCCCTTTGCCAAGCTCCTCCAGCCTCCCTCCCCTGCCCCACACTGCCCCTTTGTCAAGCCCCCCCAAGAGGGCTGTAGTGCAGTGAACTTCTACTGACTCCCCTTGGGCGAATAAAGCAAGAAAAGGGATGGGGTTGTCACTGAAAGCAGGAAGAATCACTCTGCCCCGCCCCAGGTTACTTTAGTTCTCAAGCCCCCTAAGTCCTGCTGGGACCCGGCTGCCCAGGCACGTTCCCCTGCCTTTGTGTCCCTTTGTTGTGTGCCTTGTTTCTGCTGACTGTAGTCACTGGGGATCAGCAGGCAGACCACATGCCCTTGCCTTTTGTTTCCAAGCTTTTTTTATTTTTTGGGGGCCTGAAAGGGTCAGGTTGCCTGGGGCCCCTGAGATAAAAAGGCAAAATATGCAGTGACAAGTGTTTTCCACAGCAAGAGTCATGGGAGAGCAATAGCATCAGACCCAGTCTGATGACAGCCACTTGGCAATGATTTCCTCCACCATTGCACGAGGCTAGCATCCTCCAAGACATGTCTTTAAATTACATCAAGAACTTCTATGAAGGATGTGTAAGTACAAAGTGAATCATGAAATAAAAGGGAAAGGAATAATCTGCTTTTAATTTCTATTTTTATTTTTTTTTTTAGCATTGCAATTGGTCATGTTCAGAGACCAGCTGATCTGTTAAGAAATTCTGGAGGAATAGATTAGCATGAGACTTGTAACACATAACCCATGCTTTCCTTAAAGGAAATATCAATGAGGCACAACAACTAATGGGAACTGAGGCATAAACTGGCCTGGTTCTTACAAGCCTTACTTCTGAGAAGTCAGAAGTTAGCTTCCAAGGATTCATAGATGGAGACAACCATTCTTTTGCCATTATGATAGTTTAAACAACAGCAGAACAAAATACGAAGTCTTCATTGAAGGATTCCATCTTCAGTCTGTCTGGCATGTTTGTAATAGGAGAAGGCTGAATGTATATGGTATCTACAGCTACTATTGATTTCTTTTTAAAGAGCTGTTAAACAGATTATCTGATGGAGGCTAAAGGAATGAGTGCTTATGAAAATCTTTTAGAAACAGTAAGAAAGTTTAAGGCATTACTTGGTTACATGTCCACTACAGTCTTCTTGCTGTGGTTGTTTTAAAGGAAGAGAAAGGAATGAGGAGCATTTTTCCAAATCTAAAGTACATGTTTTTGGAAAAGTGAAAGAATATACCTGCAAGAATAACAATATTTATCTTTGTCTTTTCTCTCAAATAATCCTGTCATTTGCAGCTCAGGCCACCAACAGTAATTGGTCAGTTCCACACGCTTTTCTTTGGCTCAGTTCGAATGTTTTTCCTTGGCGTTTTGGGCTTTGCAGTTTATGGAAATGAGGCCTTGCACTTCAGCTGTGATCCAGATAAGAGAGAGCTTAATCTTTTCTGTTACAATCAGTTCAGGCCAATTACTCCTCAGGTATTTTTTTATCTATTTTTTTAAGTAGAGTTAGTAGAGTAATCTAAGAAGTACTTTGATAACATAGTGATATAACTTAGAATATGAGAGCATTTGCGGCAAAGAAAGGTGCTGTGCTTTTAACTTTATTCACAAGAGTAATCCTCACTGCATAGAAAAATAATCCTTAGCTGTTGGCAACAGTCAGACTATTTGCCAGGGTAAGGATAGCTCAGGTGAGAAAGATTTGTAGGATCAGCTCATAAACGAACTATAATAAACAATATCTAACCTAAAAAGACTTGTAGACTGTAATGGCTGGATTCTGTGACACTATATCCACACACCCATCTTTATTCACATGGGTATTTCCACTGACCCTGTGGAATAGTTGAATGGGTAGTCTCCTGGGTAGGGTAGGGAAATAGGAGGCTACACCTGATTTTGATTCATGGCTTGGTGACTAACTGTGTGTGATACTGACCAAATCAGTCAATTTACTTTGTGTCTCAGCTTACCATCCTTTAAAAAAATATGGAGACAATACTTATTTGTAAAGGTGTTTTAGAGAGAGAATCCTTCAATGTCTAAATAAGCACCACCAGTGGTTCATAAGAACTACCCACACAAATAAGGATTACTGATGTGAGTAAAGGTATGCAGGCCCAGGACCTCTTCATTGTGATCTACTGTATTTGTACCATAGTTTACCTCAATTGAGAGAATGTTAACAAAAAAGTAAATGAGCTCTAAATCCAGCTTTTGGGAAAAAAATGTAACATTGATTGTTCTTACCTTACATAATCTTTTAATTTTATATGTGTTTTATATATTGAATAGATTCTTATAATAAATTCAGGTGTGAGTCTACTTTTAGCAGGCTCAATGAAGTTGCAAATGATCTGACAGCAAGTTTTCTGCTATACTTTAGGTATTCTGGGCATTACAGCTAGTGACTGTACTGGTACCTGGAGCAGTGTTTCATCTTTATGCAGCATGTAAAACCATCAGTCAGGAAGATATCCTCCAAAAGCCTATCTACACTGTTTTTTATATCCTCACTGTTTTGTTAAGGGTTGTCCTTGAAGTTGTGTCTTTTTGGCTTCAGAGTCACCTCTTTGGTTTCCAGGTGAACCCAGTCTACAGGTGTGATGCAGGAGCCCTCAATAAAAAGTTTAATATTACCCGTTGCCTGGTGCCAGAACACTTTGAAAAGACAATTTTCCTTATTGCTATGTACACATTTACTGTGATTACAGTGGTGTTGTGTGTTGCTGAGATTTTTGAGATCTTATGTAGGAGGCTGGGTTTCTTAAACAATCAGTGACCTTATTTTCATACTGAATCATTCCTCTTTATCATTCATTCACACTTTTTTTGAATATGTACCACGGAGATCTCAGCTTGAAACAGACTTTCCTGTACACTTGGGTAAATTTGTACAGGAACTATATCCTTCTGTGAACTTTTATATTAATGTTTTAAAATGCAATATAAGAACCAGATCCAAAAGAAAATGATTATTTTACTTGCAACTTAATGGAAGATGCTATTTAAGTTCCCATATGGATTTGGAACAAGTCTGTTCGCAGATGGTGTGGTGCTTATGTAAATGACCTCATGATTTACTTTTAGTTCATTGAACTCTAATGCTTATGAAGTGAGCTTCTGTCTTCAGGTAGTGCCTGACATGATACAACAAAGTTCCCCAACTTTTCCCAAGAAGTTATGCTGTTGCAGCCTGAATCCTGAACAACCACATCCTTGGCCTCCCATGAGACTCCTGACTGTGCTGTGGTTTTTATGATGTGAAGCGATGTCTGCTAAGATATTGTTGGCAAGAAACATACTATTTTGTGTCATGCTATATGAAAAACTCTTTTTAAAGCAAATGATGGGCACACAATTACTTGTACTGCTCTGACCACCCCTCCTCCATTTTTTCTTTGTAATATATCAAAATATATATGCATGGGTCATATTGATTTATGAAATAAAAGGTCAAGGGTCCCACACTTGCCTCCGTTATATAGCATAGAATGATTCATAAATATTTATTATACTTTCAGTTACAGTGATTTTAATTTTTTTTATGACCCCTACTGCTCTGGGCACAGGCATACCTTGATTTCAATGAGAATTTTTTCTGATGGATTGAAGGACTGGGCCCTGAAGATTCCTTTTATTTAATTTTTTGTCAGGCCAGTTCTGCATTTCTATCACATTGCATACAGTTGTTAAATACAAAAATCAGCACACCAAAGTGATAAAGTTATACCTTGAACTAAGTGGATTTTGAGTTATACCTTAGTTGTACCTTGAACTAAGTATTCTTTAGATCTATTTATATATCTTGTATTCTCTTGCACACCAGTTTCCATCTCAGAACTAAGGGATATCTTCAAATGAAAATCAGTCATACTCCCTGGTTACATGTGAGCTGACAGAAAGATACATTTGGAAACTGGACAGAAGGAAGAGGTAGTTTCCATTTTTTTTAATGTTTACAATTAGAGTACTAATAATTTGGTAGATTTTTTTG